TCTTTGTATTTGATAAAGCTTTATTAATTTTTCCTTCATTGCTAATCTCTCTGTTTTCTGTGGAAGCTTTTGGCATCCACCAAACTTCTGGCACCCATGCAGCTCAGCCACGCTTTGTTATGAACTACCTTCTTTTGTTTGAACTTGCCTCCCAGTGATTCGGTATTTCCACCCCTTACAAAGGGTATCATTCCCCACAAGGAACAATAAATCCTTGTTCATCCCATCTATGCCACTTTTTATAGACCTCCATATATTGTTCTGAAAAGTTTTCAACCTTTACCGCTTACTGTGGTTCAAGTGTGCCACTTCCATGTATTAACTTAGAATTCTATCTCCCATTTCACTAAGTGACAGTTTAAATTAGGAATGGTAGTTCTCATTTGCTATTTCTAAGTGCAGTTATCATCTGTTGGGGAATCCTTCTGGGTTTGTGGAACTGCTTGCAGTTTGCCATTGTTGAAGCTAACCCAAGTAACTTATTTGTGCTGTCAAACTTCACTCTGGTCATTTGTTTTTTCAGTACTGTGAAATTAAATTAGTTAAATTTGAGAGTGTGGCCTCAGCAGCAACAGATCCTTGTGAGAGGCTAGTAATAAGTCTCAAAAATGCCTTTTGGAAATCTAAAAAGACAATAAACTCGTCTTTGTTGTGCAACAAGATCTCCTCTCACAAATTCTGTGTTGAGTCATTTATCCACGTATCTGCTAATGTTATTCTTTACACAAGTTTCTATTAATTTAGTTGAGGTAGATGGCAGGCTTACTTCCAAAGTTAAGACCACATATCAAAATACAAAATTTCAAGGAATTCAGTAGGAACAGTGAAGAGAAAGAAGACTGGGGCAGGTGGAAGATGTTGAAGCCTTTCAATTTAAATTAATATACAGTTTAAATACATGCACAATTAATTGTTGAGAGCTATATTAATAAACTTACAGTCTAAAGATACACATTGTTATACAACTGCAAGACAGTTTTGAATATAACTTTTGGCAGGCTTTAAAAATCTTCATACACCTCAATGCTCCATAAAAGAAACTACAAAAAAACCCCCCACTTTAAATGAGGAGGAGCAGGATCTTACTAAATTATAGGACTTTGGTGTTGCAGGTTGTATTTATTAAATGCCTCCCTTTTCCCCTTCAGAAAACATCCTTTTTCCCTTGCAGAGGCTAATTATTCTATGCCCACAAGTTACAGTATTATTAAACTGGCAATACTGCACATGAAACACAGTTACAGACAATTAAAAAAGCCCTTTAGTAACAGTCACTTAAGTGCAGAAAACACTTATAGAAAGAGCTCTTTGCTAATGCAGCAACACTCATTAGTTTTAAAATTAGTACAGAAGGTTTGGAGAGGAATAGCTCCTGGGCTGGGGGGCTGGAGGTAGAGTGCTGTGAAAAAAAACGGCAAAATTGTGATTTTGCCACTTTCTCACTACGAAAGCAGATTAATAAATCTCTACTTTAGCAAATATTGTTGACAGTAATCTGACACTTTAAAGGTTAAAGAATTAAAAATTAACAGCACTTACTCAGGGCCTATTTTCTACTGAGTATATTCAGAGAATGATTAGTACTTACAGCAGAAGTCATACCAGCATAGGAGACGTCCTGTTCTGCTGATGCACAGGTACAGTGCAAAGAGGTGCTAAGCTATTTCAATTTATTTCATTAACCTAGAAATAGTTCCATGCTTCATGGAATTAAACAAATAAGAATGACACAGAGACAACAACTAATGACTTTTTGTTTCTGCTTTTTCAAATGGTTGTTACAACATGGCAAGAGGTAATTTGGCAAATAAAAAGGAAATAAAAACAGTATATGGATGTGCTGAAAAGACACTGTGATGGTCAGAAGCATGGATGTGGCTTTGGCTTCAAGGAGAAATGTTTCAGTTTACATGTGTTTCAGTGTTTCCCTAAAGATATATTATTCTTAGTGTGAACACTTGAGACAAAAGCAATTTCTGCTCATAACATGGACATATTTACACTCTAATAGTCCAAAGACTCTCTCAACTTATCAAATACACCCTCCACGCACACTGCTTGCAGAATACTAGCAAGATCAAAGCAGGTCCTTGTCTTCATAAGTTGTTTTCATTGCCAGGGATCAGGACAAATAAAATGTTATTTCCAGGTTCAACAAGAAGTCCTCAGCTACAGAATAACTCTACTGCTATTAATTTGCACGAAGTGCCAAAGAAGAGTTGTTTTCCTTCCCCTGAGATCAGAACAACCAGTTGTCCCTATTCTTTGTCCCATCAACATCCCACTGGCCATTTTCCTCTTTTCCTAGCTGAAGTACAGTGTTAGTATAGTTGCCAAATTCATGATGGTACATCTATGTTAAATTACACCTCTCAAAAGTCATCTTATTTTGTATTTCAGAGGAACACATCATGACTTTCCTTCAAGACACAACCACTGTTATAATTCATCTACAAAATGATTTATCATTATAGAAAGGAACGATGCATGCATACTTTCAAAAACAAGCTTAGAAGCAGTATTGTTTGGAAACAACTCTCCCCTTCTGTGTAAGGAGAGCTGTACTTGCAACATATGCAACATAAAGCACCACACAGCACTGGAATCTGCTGTTCCTCAAAGTGAGGTACTAAAAGTCTCTGCCCCACAACAGGTACTCCTATTATATGCAAAGCAACATAACTGCAGCAATTAATTCACAGAAGGAGAGGTGCTTAAAACTAAACAGCTGGATAATGAAATATGTTCTATCTTATTAAGACAATCAGAAACTTGTATTTTTGAAAAATTGAGACCTGGTAGCAAGAACAAAAGACAATCATGACAAATTGGAGACAGTTACAATGTATGACAGTGAACTGAAGGTCTTGATTTCTGAAGATTATGAGGAAATTCAGAGGACACAGAGCTGAACTTATTCTCAAATAATTCAATTCAGAATTACCTTAAAAGTAGTAAACCATTTGTAATACTTTTTTTTTTGTTGTTGTTGTTGTTTTTTGTTTTGTTTTTTTTTTTTTTTGTAATAAGAAACAGAAACAGGAGATAAGGAAACTTGTCTGTCCTTTCACAAGGAAAAAACCCAAAACACAAACTGATTACACTTTTCTCTTTTTGTTTTATGAAAAAGAAGGCATTCAATTTGTTTAATTCAAATATGAAGGTAAAGATCAGATCTAATCATCCCAGGACACTCAGAGAAATGAGGTTTTGTTTCTAAAAAACAAAAGGAAATTATGGATTCAGGAAAGGGTAACTTATGACATAGATCTGTTTGCAGATATGCTGCTCTTTGGTATTCTGTAAAGTAATTCAGCAGAAAGAGAGCTGCTTGCTCATTCTGATTTGTCATCAAGATCAATAAGAGTGAAGATGTTTCTAAGGAAAACTCCTCAGCAATAAGATCTTATACTAGATGACCATAACAAGAAAGTGATCTGCATTTAGACTGACTCTGCCTCTTACTCCTTTAAATGCAGTTTTATTTTCCAATTCAACACTTGTCCTGTTTCACAGTGAATTGTGCCTGCAGTGACTTAAACTTAAACAACATTCACAGAAATCTTGCTTAAGAATTTCACAAGTCAACACATCTACAGCTTTTTCTGTGATTCCATGCAATATTATCAAACCTTAGAAATTTTTATACCACTTCTGATTCCAAGTGAAACTACATTAAGTGTTTTAATTTTCAGGAAATTATATGCTGTTTTGTTGTCCTCTGAGAAAACAGGATTGTATTAAATAGTTCCTCAAGTGTATTAAACTGCACAGGTCACCTGAAGATAATAAATAATTTTAGGTTGTTTTTTTTTTAAGAAAACAGAAGGAAACAGAAGCATGACTGAACCCTGAAGTTCTTCCAAACTACTCTGGTTTCAAGCACTCAATTCAGGTCTGAAGTCCAATAACTAACTAGAAAATAATTACTTTGTAGCATTTTGAAGTCATCTCGGGTAGACAAGCCATGCAGCAAGATCAATATAGATGTTGCATTTTCAAAATAATTTTTGTAATCACAACTTCTGTCTCTTAGTAACTTCCAAATATAGTTGAGGATTTGGTAAGTGCTTTATTTAGACTGTTTTAGGAAATGTTTCCACTTCAAACCATCTTCTCCAAAAATTCAACAAAGTTAGTTTTGATTTCAACAGGAACTATGTATTGATTTTTTCAATTTTTCAGCTTTCTGTTTGGAAAACAGAAGCCACTTGCATACAAAAATTGATGTCAAACAGTTAAATTCTTCATTTTCCTGCAAAACTGATGATGACAGATCAGGGGACTGCTTTCTTACGCTTTCTCAGAATGCTATCGCTCTGCAGATACTTATCCAGCTGTATGTCCCACTTGGACACTGGAAAAGTCTTGCCTCTTTACAATGGATTTCTGCAGTGATTTTTGTACCTCTCCTACTAGAACTTTTCAGCCCCATATTTGTTCTACACTGATAACAACTTGGGTGTTATTTAGCATTACCTGTACAACACTAAGAGGAGCAAATAATGGTTACATTAATGAAAGAGAAAGCCTGATAAGGGAGTCTGACTGATATAGATTAGTAAGGTTTTTTTAAGGAATGGAAATAAACTTCTGAAAACTGCAGGCAGCTTCAGCCACCTTAACGACTGTAGAGAGCATCATTTGCACCTTGTACAGGATTTCTCTTAAGAGTTTTTGTTGCCTGCTTATTGAATGTCATGTCAATGAGTTCCACTCCACAGGAAAAGTTTAAGACAGGGCAGTATTTAATGCAACAAAACTATATCTTTATCATGGAGCAATGCCATGCTCCACTGATTCTCATTCAGACAGGAATCTATAAAAGTCATAGAAAGCATCATCTTCATTTAGTGTTACTTTTTATACATAACAAAAGCGACAAATATCATGCTGCATGACAGACAGAAGAAAGAAAACCCGTTTATCACCTATAAGCTTTTCAGCTGATTTAATGTTTTATGCTAACGTCACTAAGCACAAAAATACACTCTACTCACCAAATAAATTGCTTGAATGTCCTTGCTTAGATATGGGTTTCAGTTCATTTAATCCCCATGCGTAACGCTTATAATTATCCCAGGCATGCTTCATCATCTGTAGGGAAACGAAAGCAGGATTATAATGTTGATTTAGCAAGAAGCCACAGCAAATACCAACTTGAGGATATTCTCAGTATTAAACACATTTAATTCAATTCTTAACCAAATTCCTCTTGTATGCACTTTAACTATGAAATACTCACTACAGAATAATGATGGCACTATTTTCCAGGGGGCAGTGGGATGGTTACTATAAGAACTCCTTGACTGTCCACTTCTACCGTTATCTGCAAGCTTATGATCAAAACAGTCTAGAAATAATTAGTTTTTTAGGAAGGTAATTAATTGTGTTATATATCAATTCATTTAAGATTTTATTTCCCTTAAGCATGTACCTCTGAAATGGAGGGAAGTAACATTTTTTAAAAAGCTTTTTTCTCCTGGAGTAGGATTTTCTAAGGTCAAAATTAAGCTCACAGTAGTTTTCAGATTCTGACAGACTTGCTTGCATAAAACTAGCTGGCTCAAGCTCAATATGGCTAATAACAGTAAAATAAAGCTAAAGTGGGTAGACAGAACACCTAGGAAAGATTTTATGGTAGATTATTATATCATAATCTTTTTGTTACTATAAATGCATCTGTAGCTACTTTCATATGCCATTTTGCACAAACAGAAGAAAACTTTTACAACTAAACACATCACTACAAAAGCATGTTTTGCATAAAAAGAGGTGCACCACAAATACATACTGCTTTGGGAAACAGCCTTGGGAACCTAGAACAGCAGCACTGCGGTAAGAGCAGAGGGCGCCCACATCAGAAGTCAGGGTAGTGGGTTGACTCAAGATCACTTCACACTCTTTACCACCACCACCACCAGACACACCTGGCCCAAACTGTGCTTTTCCAGGGTGGTCCAGGTGCATTGCCAGGAGCCCACCTGTTCCTCCCCAAAGAACAATGTGAGAACAATGCATGCAGCTCTGCAGGCCTAGTGACAAACCACTGCCACTCCAGCGGGTCTAACACCTCCCTTTACCAACCACCACCCTTAACATCTGCTCAGGAAGTCTTCTTTAAAGAAGCAGCACCACAAGCAGCCTGGTTTTGCATAAGAGAAAAAAAGATTTTTACTCCTTTTTGTCCTCCTTTCCTTCTTCCACAAGACAGAGCAGTGTTGGGAATGCCAGAGGTCATCTTCTAGACAAAAAGTGACAATTTCAGACCTTTTCAAAAATACTGCTTCAGGCTGTCAGCTGACAACACTGCTCTGTCCTTGCTTTCAGACCTCTTCTTGAGGCCATGTGTGTCAAGGATAATTCCGTTAAGTAACAGTTATAATCCTAAATTTAAAAGCAGCAGCCTTGGGACATGCTGATAATAGTAATCCTGCACTTTCTCTCTTCTTCTTTCCTTTGCTCAAACCACAGAGAAATTATGTCAATTAAAAATCTGCATTAAGCCATACTATAATAGATGACAAGAGATTTTCTAGAGTACCTCTCTACTTATGAGCATAAACATTTCTTTGCTATTTATGGAATCATAAATGCACATCTATCCTGCAGGAAAATTCATCTATGTTAATCTACGCTACCGCCCTTACAGGCCCAGCATTGCAAATGCAAAAATTGGCGACTGCTTTTAATACATGAGCATTTTCAACCAGAAGGTTAGCCTGGTGTCAGATCTCAGCTGAAAGGCAGCAAGAGGCCCAAGTAAACGATCTCAGGCCATGGATTGCACCAATATGCTGGATGGCAGGAGCAGCATCTATTGCTTAACTTCATTGCAGAATGGCATAGGAGCTCTCCAAGGATGGGGCTTTTCGTCCCAGTGCTGAACTGGTATATTTCCTAATTTACCAATTTAATTCTAATTTAAACAGCATATTTTCTAATTTACCAATTGAAATTTTCTGGTAATTTTGTCTATTATATGAGAAAGACTTATTCTGCCCTGCCATCATGTGCCAGACCTCCAAACTCAGCTTTAAATTCTCGAAGATTTCAGGAGGCTAAATCCTATGCTTTGTACAATCTTATTTTCTCATGAAATCATGTCAGAATATTTTCATTTGTTTAATCTCAATCAGGGACACAAGAGGGCTTTTTTTAAAGTACTTTTGTAATTAAGTGGCATGAATCAAAAGTGTCTAACAACGCAGTACTTTAACCGAATTAAAATTGCTCAAGCCAGTACTGCAATGTTCCTTCCCTTTTTCTGTCCTTTTTCTCCTAGCACATCCTTGCTCCTTCTCTTGCTTAAGAAATGCAGCTCACCTATTTCCATACCAAGTCAGTTCAGAAAACAGAAACTTTTGCAAGTGAGATTTTTGTTCTGAGGATCATTTTTGTCCCAACTGATTCCAAAAGTCAGATTTTCCTGAGTATTAGAGTTACCAAGCAGGAAGGGCAGGAACAGCTCCAAACCCAGTTCAGTTTAGCCACAACAGTCACAAAGTGCATGATGCTACAAGATGTCTTATATGCGCTCAGTTGCCTTTAGATTTTTCCCAATGGATTGACATGTCAATCATGTTGTCTCTTAAATGCATGTGTGATTTGGTAATAGAAACCACTCAGATTACCTACTGTTAGTCAACCCCTAGGCAATAAGACAGGAAGACAGTAGACAGTATCTTCTAATAATACTTATTACTGTGTGCTAGTGAACACTTGGGTTGGTTTTTTTTTTCCCAAAATGTCCTCTTATTTTGCTAACTACTCAGGTATAATTGTTTATTTATTTCTTAGGAAATTACAATACGTGAATCCAAAAAGTCAAGCAGACAAAAAAACCCTCAACCCACAGTACTTAAAAAAACCAAACCAAACAAATCAACCCCCCCAAACCCCAAACAAATCCCCCAAACTAACCATCCCCTCCCCCACAAAATAAAAAAAAAAAAAAAAAAAAAACACCCAACTTTAGGAAATATTCCAGTAGGAAAACCCCCACCAGAATCTACTGAGCAAGAGATCCAATTCATCTCTTTTGGCTAATCAAAGCATTTTTTTAGAACTCTTCCAGAAAGGTTAGATTTAGACAAAACCAGCAAGGTTAATAAAAAATTTACTCCTAAAAAAATGCACTTTTAGAATATACTAGCTTTAGACATTTGGAGTTTTATGGGCATACATTGAAAGCAAAATGCAGCTCCAAAAGTAGTCAGTGAGCCCTCTAGTGTTTCAAAAGAACATGGATCATTCCAACTAGACATAAAAGCGAATGGCTATTTAGCAAAAAGTTACCAGGACTTAGTGTTCCTGCGTTACTTGCTGAGCAAATAGCCACTAGATATGGGAGCCAAAAGTGAGTTTGCATCAAGTAAGTTTGGGCATCTAAGCTATCAAGAAGTCTCAATTTCAAGTATTCAATACATCAGAAATAATCTACATGCTTTCCCTCCTCTGGAAATCACAAAACTATATTAAGTTTCCCACTAATATCAACTTCCTATTTTTTAATAATTTTATTTTCTATGTAAGAATGAAAAAGTTCTAAAATATTTAGGACCAATTTTAATAGACCCAGCCCACTGATAATTTTTGGCTTAGGCTAAGCTCCTAGCACTGGTACTCTGGGAATTAATTTTAACAGTTTTTTGGCTAGATCTACCTATCTTTGCTGTCTTACCCCTTCTGTTTGCATGAGACATTAACAAATTATTATCTCCAGATTTATTTTTTTAATTCACAAAGGCCCTTCTAATCACATTTCTACTTGTACAAGTACTGTTGATCACTTGAAATTTCTAAATAAAGATCACAGTTACTGAGAACATCTGTATATCAACACAACATTACCGATCCTGTTAAAAAGAGAAACTCCCAATGAGGGAGAGTCTAAGACCTTTTGACTAGATAATTCCAGATACTCTCAAACTCCTCTACAGTATAGCTAATAAAATTATCTCACCCGACTGCTTTCAAATAATTCCTTATTAGCCTTCCAGGATGTTAATAGGCAGAGTTACATTTGCATATAGATATCCCTCTGTCCTTCTAGTTTTACTAAGATATGTTAACAGTCACAGAATGGCTGGGATTGGAAAAGAGAAATCATCTGGAAATCAGCTAGTCCTATCCCCTCTATTAAAACACGTTCATGCAGAGCAGGTGGTACAGGATTCTGTCCAGGAAAGTTTTGAATATCTCCAGAGAAGGAGAATCCACAACCAGCAGCTTGTTCCAGAGCTCTGACAATCTCACAGGAGAGATGTTTTTCCTCACATTCAGATGGAACTCCCTCTGTTTCAGTTTGTGCCCACTGCCTGGCACTACTGAAGAGTCAGGTCCCATCCTGCCCTTAAGTTATTTGTATGCACGATAAAATTCCATCTCAGTTGTCTCTCCTCCAAGTTAAACAGGCCCAGTTCCCCTAGCCTTTCCTCATAAGGGAGATACTCCAGTCCTCTAATCATCTTCATAGCCCTTTGCTAGACTTGTAGACAGTAACTCCTTGTTCTTTCCTGAACTGGGGAGCCCAGAGCTGGACAGTGTTCACTGAACCTCAAACTCTAAAAGAGCCTGACACCTCACTGGGAAGCCATGTGCCAACATCAGCAGTCTCTTTCTGATGGAGTCCTATCTCAGGTCTCTCACAGTCAGATGCGGCAGTGGAAGGTTTGACTAGCTAGCCCTGTTTCACTAGTAAGCTGGCTGCTTTTCTATCTTCAGAAAGAAATGGGGCACTGATTTTTACTTACGAAGTCAGAAAATGCCAAAACATTAACCACCTCTCTTGGAGAACAATGAATTATGCTATTGTAATTGCTATCAGCTAAGTCATTCAGGAAAAAAAAAGGTGAAGGTCTGACTTTATACAAAAAAGGACCTGCGTATTTCTTTACCTCTAAAGGAAACATCTTAAAATATAACTTTAAAACCCTTCTCAAACTGCTGAAATTAAAATAAAAAAAGTAAAATACAAACCCCAGAAATTTTTTCTCCAGAAGCAAAAACAAAGACCTTTTCTACAGCTTTAATGCTGGCCAACTAAAAGATGATGATAATGCACTCCAATTCACTGGCATTTTAGTTACTGCCAT